TATAGCCCTGCATGAGATCTGTTCTATCCTATTTTTATATGTCAGGTCACCCAAAACTTCCATATTCAACCACTTCCATAAAATCTCAAGGATTCAAAATTACAGGGCAGATACCCACTTCTGTTCCAAATGGAAAACTTGTGCTTCTCCACACATTCTACTATTACCCATTGCAACTCATACTGGAGAGGGAAAAAAAAGATCAAACATACTTTATTCAGCAGTTTTGTCATCTTCCTGCAATCTAACCCCAGAATGGTGATTACACAGATGCATTAGCACACAGTCAGCATTTTCTGCTGCCCTTCCCTCCCCACAACACTCTGCACAGCTGCCAACTTGCCTGGCTGCTTGAGAGCTGAATGGGGAATAACACAGGCAACATACTGGGAAGACTGCCACGCTGCTGGCAAAAGGGCATGCCTGGCTCTTCCCTGGATGCTCATGGCAGCAGCACAAATTAACCACTAGGAACACATCATCTACAGAGAGACAGCTGAACACACAGGTGCAGGCAGGAGAGTTACTGCTTCAAAAGGAAAAATAAAAATAGCTTTAGGTAAACAGTGCTGGCATTAAACATCATGTCCCAGCATTTCCTTGGAAAGGCCCTTTGGCTACAGTTCTGTTGTTTGGTTTTGTTGCTTTAGTTGTTTAGCTGGTTTTACACTTTATCAGCTCACAGAAGCTCCCCATGAAGGTACCAGAGAGAGAAACACAAGGCTGTGCTCAGACTCAGGAGCAATCGACAAACCAACATCACAACCACAGACAAAGGAAGGAGAATAAAGCATGAGAAACAGAGGGCAAAGTGCAAGAACCAGTGCCAGCATCACTCTGTCCTTTTAACAATGATTAACCACTGGGGTACCAGCTGTCTGTCTGCAGGGTCCCCACCAGCCACTGCCAGCATCAGCCAGGCACAGCACAGCACCTTGCGCTACACAAGGAACTGGGACATTTATTATTGCACACACTGACACACAGCTGTGGTGTCTGTGTTTTTACTTTCACAATGGAAACCATGAATGTGACAATTTTGGGGAGAAACTGACTTCATTCTTGGTTTATGCTAAAGTTTTGGGTGGCTGTAGAAAGTATGAATGGATCAGCTGAAAAACAGCCACTGATGAGTATTTCAGACAGGCGTTCTGGAAGTGTTCACCATGTGGCACAAACAAGCCTAATTATTTCAGCTTCCAAAAATCAGTTACTTTTAAGAAATATGCCAGCTGTCTAGCTTTTCAAAACCCAGTTTACTTCTCTAATCAATATGAAATAGCCTGCCAATCATGCTCTGAATCCTCTGCCTGTCATCAGAAGCACTTAGTGTCTAATCACACACTTACCATCTACCTTTGTAGCTCTGCTGGCAAATGTTTCTATTATCAGCTTGCACAATGCAAAAAAAATGCTCTTTCTTGCTGCTTAGGATGAACCATTACATTGATGATTCAGGCATTATCTGTTTTTTCAAAAAGAATTGTAAATGCCATTTGTCACAGTACACCTCTCCACTCTTATATTTCTTCACTGAACAAGAAAATGCCTCACCCAGCCGTAATCAGAGAACAGCTAATATTTTCAAGACAAACAAGAACATGAATTCTGAATTCTAACCTAAACCAAATGGTACAAAACAAGCCATGTGCTCCTACATTGACTAAAGTATCCTCACCTACAAATTTTAGACAATAAAATTTCCCAAATTCTTCTGCCCTAAACAGGGAGCAAAGCTAAATGCTTGCTTCAGGGGACTCACTTTGGGATTCATCAAAGTGCAGCCTGATTTTAACAGAATATGAAGCATGCCACAGTCTGTACAGCATTCCTAGTATTGTCCTGGAAAACTGCTACAGAAACCTTCAGTCATCATCATCCTTTCCACAGCTTTATGATCAACTGTTTCCATTCCGTTTCTGTGTAACTTATGCCATACACTGACCTGCATTTCCATTCCCTGTTACGGAAAGCATTTTCAAAAGCATGTAAAAGAAAATAAGAAAATCTGCATTTTGAAGCACCATGTTTTATCAGTACTGCAATATTTTAATACATTAAAATTACCATGACACTCAAAACCATGCAAGTAAAAATCTTGCATCAAATCTACATTTAAGTCTCCTCCCAAGACATTTCTTCCCTTTTTTGCTGCAAAATTTAAAGGGTTTTTTAAATATAATTTACCACCCAAGCCAGAGTTTTTTTTTTAATATACCCTTCTGAATGTGAATCAAAGCTCACTGCCTCCCTCTCTCAGGGAATGAAGATTAAATGGTACGTTCAAACACTTCCTGAATGTGATGCACAGCTGGGACAGTTGTGACCCAAACTACACTCTTTGTCCAACATTTGGACCACTGAGGTTCTTTTTAAGCAGCTCTTTTCTCACCCTTGAGGCTGCTGTTTGTGTGTGCTGCCCCAGTGCCTGTCAGGCTGCCACAATTTCTTTCCCTGCACATTATTGGTAACTATCTACCAGTAACTCCCAAATCTTTCCTGCATTCCCTATAGCAAACCCCATCTTCTTTAGTCTTCTCATACCTCCTTCACCAAATTATTCTCTTAACACCAAAAGCAATAGCTGTGCATTTTGTGCACACTCCCAAGCTCCTTGAGAGAGCACCTTCATCCTTTTGGGAGAGGCAAGCTTGAAGACTCCACCCTCTTGAACAATTAAAGACTCCACCTCCTCTGTAGCAGCCATCATAAACCAAAAATCTAAATCATAAAGCATATGCTAGTAGGTGGCTTAACATTTAATTCCTATGCTCATGTAATGTATGCTTGTAAGCAACACATATCTCACAGTGGTTTTCCACTTAATTAATTGCCAACATGCTATTATTTTATCTTTTGCCAACATGCAGAAGATAAAATTGTGGGGAGATGACGAGAATATGAAACTAGAACTGACCATAAATCCAGATAAAAGCCATACTTAGAACCACATGAATCCACCATTCATTTCTTGGGCAATAACATGCAGACACACTTAAGATACAAAGCCTTTATATGTAAAAGATTTTTTTTTCTTTTTAATATTTGCAACTTCATCTGAAAAAACATCCAAAAAATTCAACTAAAGTCTAGTTTCAAAGGACTCCTATGAGATTGTGAAAATAAGAAAAGACATATATAAGAAACCTCACAGGACACTTTAGGTTTCTTTTGTCTAAGGAGGTTAAAAATACACATCCCCTTGTAAAACCACTGGAGGAAGCACACTTCATGGGGGACAGTGATTTTGCACACTGTGAAGCATTGCTTTTTCTGTTTCTTCACTCCAAGATGCCCACTTCTAAAACCAGACAAAAAAAAAAAAAAAAAATAAAGGCTCAGAAGACAAAAGAAAGCTGTTAGAGAAAATTAAGTTCCCAATCAGTAAAATTAAACCACTTAAGTTAAAGGCTGCAGCCTAACCCGAGGCACACCTCTACACAGGTACAGAGACAGCCTCAGTTACACCAAAACCATTTTACAGTTCTGTTGTTGTCAGACCTTCCCTATGACACCTCTGTCCCTCAATGCTTCCTTTGCCCCAGAACAGGGAGCTTGTTCAGTATGGTTTGAATCTTATAAAAAAATAGTATTTTAGCACTACTGAGTTTACATAACATAATCAAGACACTACAATTAAAAGCCATTAGAGAAAGAGCACCATATGTGTTTTAACCATGTGTACTACTTGTAGTTACCTTTTTGAGAAGATTAAAATTAAGCAGCTTTTGCTTTTCATCTCACTCACACCCTCCCACTACAAATTCTGTCTGAGCTAATCCTCCTTCTAGAGACGTCAAAACAGGGCATAAGTATTACAGCTACTTACTGCCAAAATGTGCTGGTTTAATATCCCATTACTATTGTAATACTGGCACAATAACTTAATATACGTGACAGCTTTTGCAGTTAGTCAAAGATAGAGCCACTTATTCAGTATTGTTTTTTTCATCACATAAAAATACCTTCATAAAATTTGTAGAAGAGAAAATTTAAGATCTGCACTCAGATGTTCATCTGAGACTATGATGCCAGACAAAATAAAAGACTTATAAAGTCATTACACATACTTTTCCTACCCGGTAATTTCAAAGACTTTACATAAAGTGATCGGTCCAGAAATTCAGGTTACAGTGTTTACAAATGCACTGTTTACTCCTTACTTCCTGGCATTTTAAAACACACTTTCACAGAGTTTACAGTTGTGTCTTGTTTTTTTTTTTAAGGGCCGGCCACACTCTGCACGAAAGCCAAGACAATGTCCACCTCAGAACACATTTCCAGTGAGAAGCCCACGCTTGTCAAAACGTTCAGGGTCATTTTTCGGGAACTTGCAGCACAGAAATACAAGAAGTCGTCCGTTCAAGGCCCTAGAAATACCTAGGTTAAGTAAGTGATGAAAAGGATGCTGTGGGACACGCTAAAGACAAGAGGCATCGGGAAACAGGTGCATTCACGAAGTTACTCCGCTCCGGCCACAGGGTATCCGCCAACAACGGATGGCAAATCCCGGCGGCCGGAGCAGCCCCGCTCCAGCCCCGCTCCAGCCCAGGCGGGCACACGCGAGCCGAGCTCTGCACGCGGGGACTCGCAGGGGGACGAGCCCTGCCAGCCCCTGCCCTGCACGCTGGCACACACACAGCGGCTGGCACACACACAGCGGCTGGCACACAGCGGCTGGCACTCGGTCGCAGCGGGTCTCGCACAGCCGGGTCCGGGCAGGGCAGCAGGGCTGACCCGCCCCGAGGCCCCGCGGAGGGGCCGCCAGCCGAGCCCCCGCCCGCCAGGCCGGGCCGGCCGAGGCTCCGCGCCCGCAGCGCTCCCGCCGCCCCTCTCGGAGCCGAGCGCGGGCCGCACCCCCGCCGTCCCCGGGCGTCGGCAGCGACCGCCTGCCTGCTCCGCCGAGCCCTACCGGGGAAGCGGAGCACCGCGGACACGGCCGCGCCGTACCGGGGCACCAGGCACAGCGCTCCCCAGGCGGTGTCCCAGCCGCCCCTTACCTGCCTCTCCGCGCTCGACGCCTCCTCCCGGGCCCGGAGCTGGAGCCGCCGGAGCCGCCACGCCACGGCCGCGGCTCCGCGCCCGCCGAGCGCCCGGCCCACCCTGGCGCCGCCCCCCGGCCACGCCGCCCGCCCGCGCCCCCTGCCGGCCGCGCCGCCGCCCCGCCACCGCCCGGGCAGCTCCGCGCGGGACGGGACAGGACGGGACGGGCTGGGAAGGGACTGGACGGACGGAACGGCCGGGCCGGTCCCACAGCCGACGTGTGACGGGGCGCCCGCGGCTCGCCCGCCAAGGAGGCGGGAAGTGTCAGCCCTCTGAAGTCTCCTTCTTTCACAGCCACAGCTGCGGAGTGCAGCGAGAGGCTCTGGGGCCACCAGCGGGCACCCAGCCCGAGTTCCCCATGCCCTAGCGCTGGTTTTCAACTTCCCGCTGCTTTCAGCTCGCAGCGCTGGAGAGGATGGCTGTCAGCTCGCCGAGGCGCGGCACGACCACGTCCCGCAGCTGGGCGAGGCGAGGTGGGTACTGCCGCTGACTCCGCCGGCACGCTCTTCTGGTATCTGACTCACCGGGAGTACGGCTGGAAGCTGTCACGGCCCTTTGGAAGAAATGCCACAGATTTCAGTACAAAGATATAACAAACTCTTCTCCTGTGCAGCTGATAAAAGTGAATTCATCCCATAACTTGCACAGTACTCACCAGGATTTGCTCCAAACAAAGCAGTTCCCAGCTAACCAGACAGTCCCTTCACAGGAGCCAATTCTGCTCCACTAGCAGGAGTGCTTGTTCAATCCTGCAAGCTTTACCTTTCAAATACACCAAATTTTCATGTATCCCTAAAACAGAGCCTAAAATCAATTCTGCAGATTTAGGGAATGCCCTAATTCCCTTTACACACCTACTCTGGCATGTGGATGCACAGCCTATGGGAATGATAGGTGATCAACAGTGATAGGAAAGATGTGTGCTAATGTCTTTACAAACAATTTGATGGGGGAAGGTATGGTTGTTAACGTCTTTGAAATGGGTCTTAATGTCTCTGCCAACTTCAAAAAGCAGCTTCCTTGCCGGAACAGCAGACAGCTTGATTCCTGGAACACACAAAGGGTCTGCACAAGGCTGAAGTTTGGGGTAAAATGCCAGCTTTAAGGGGGGACTATGTGGAAGGTGGTTCGGGAAGGCTGTACCTTGCCAGCAGCTCAGCCGATGGAGAAAGGAAGAGAGACACGTGCGGCCAGGAGTTCAGGATAAAAGAGAGGCTGCACCCTCGAAAACCCCGAGAGAGAAACTGCAGGGAGGTGTGCCCCAGTGGATTCTCCTCTATTCGAATAAAGACTCCTCTGTCTCCTTTATGGACACTGCCTTTTCATAGAGCGATTTTCTGTAAAAAGCTATGTACTGTCACTAAAAAGGTGGCACCAGCGTCTTTAGTTGCAGTAAGGAGGCACCTCGAAGAATGTCTGTGGTTCTCACATGCCCATGGTTCCACTTGCAGGTCTGGGTACTTCTGCCAGCTTCCAACTGTGCTGTCACACTGCTCTGCCAGATCAGCAGACACATTTATCTCTGTGGCCTCTGCTCTTGGGTCACAGTGACTGGTTATCACAGCCCTGCCAACAGCAGCATGGAGTCAAGTTTTCTTTCTTTGATGTTGCACATCCACAGAGCCAACATGTCCAGGAAACCATGGGCATGGTTTCCTGGCTAAACTCGTACTTTTGTATGACTGGTATGATTTCACCTTGAAATGTGCTGAGGTTCTCCAACTTTCTATTTTCTGATAAAAAGTAGGAATTAATCAAGAAACTGCAGAGCAGTGTGGGAAGGGGTTGTTCAGCTGCAGATCAGAAGAACGGAGCCTTTACCCACTGCTGCTTTCCAAAAGCTATCCCCAGAGCTGCTCAGCAGCCTGCAAACCACTGCTGTACATCAAATGCAGGCACAGCTGTTCTTCCCTGCTACCAGCATCACATCAGATTAGAGCTAATTGATCGCTGGTTTATTTTGTATAAAACCGGTGTCAACCATCTGAAAAAGAATGGCTCTAGAGGAGTGGAAGACAAATTGTGGGCTTCTAGATGTGGACAGTGAGCTCTGACTGGAATTCACCAGATCACTTTAGGGCATGTTTGGATAGCAAAATGCCCAACCTTAGCACAAAGAAATCTGACCCCCTACCAGAAAGCAGAAGACATACCTTACAGAACAATTGCCTCTGTATGGAAACAGTGATTTGCCATGATGGCAAATATTTGCCAGGGCAGTGGCATTTCCACATCCCTCCAGAAAAAAAGTACAGTTCAAAAAGGATTTAGGATTCAGAAACTGTCAATCTCTTCTCCATGGAGTAAAAGGATTTAATTTTCTTCACAGGATGTTTTGCTCTGGAAATTATAATAGCTAGCTTATACACACAAAAGAAATCAACTTCCTTAGAGATATTCATTATGATATTTCTAAAACAAATTACTGTGTACTCCGAAGTTGTTAATATCCTGAAAATTTCTCTGCAGAAACCACATACACGTGGATTTTAAAGACAAAATTGGAGAAGATGAACTGAATATTCACAGGGCAAAGCAACTGCAGGTCCTGTCCATGGGACATACTCTGAGTTACTCACAGCCCCAGCATATCACCTTACTTGATATTCTGGTCAAATGGATCTACTTTCTGATATATATACACCATGATGCATCAAATGATAATGAAAATTACATTTAATAGTGTCAAGATTTGCTCTTCTGTTCTTTCAGTAGAGTGAATTAGCTACAAACTATCAAAAGTTTTGTTGCATTAACCAGACAGTAGCCCTGAGCATGTCTGGATGTTAGAAGTGCATGGCCATTCACTACCATCAACGAACCATGGCTGAGACAAGCCACTGTATACATATATATATTATATATGGTCAGAGCACTGCAGTGTTCCTCTGGCTGACCTCAATCCCAAGAGGAAAACTGACAACCTGTGTTAGAGATGATAGGTCATGGTGAAATGCAGCCCCACCAGACTGGAAGGTGTTGGGGGTTAGGGTCTTTCCTTTTGTTTCTTCTCCCTCATGGAATATTGTCCCATATGTTCCTGGGAAAAAATAACTACCAATAGTTAAAAGAGAGACAACAGAAATTGCCCTGGGAAGAGTGTGGCTGGCTACTCTCTTACCCGAGATTTTATTCTCTGAGGGGCAGATACCAGGAGAATAGGACTGGGAAAATGGGGGTGTGTGCAGCTCCTGTTTCTCTCGCTCTCTCAGCATTCCCAGGGGAAGGAGGCTGCAGTCATTGTGGGAAGCCTTCAGCACTGCTGTGGGGTTCTGTCTTCTGCTTTCTCCTACCGTGACTGGAGCCCTGCTCGGAACAGCGGCCGTGGCACTGGGACCTTGTTGCCACCACACCTCACCAAAAAAGGACCCGTGCCATCTGTTTGGGTGCCTCAGGGGGAACAACGGGACTCCAGAGGGCACCTCCCCTCCCCGGCTGTGTGCAGCAGCCGCTGTGGAGGAGCCCGGTGTTATAAACGGGTAATGTGATGCTTGGCTCTCACAGTGAAGAGATTAATATTATGTGTGTGTTCAGAGAAGTTCTATAGATGTATAATTATCTTATTTTGGCATGCTCTCCCCATCTTCCTCTTTCCCTTGCCCCTTGTATTGTAGTCTCTAGTCGGAGCATATGAGGGAGGGCAAGCTTGTTACTAGGAGGCAGAGCATGGCAACACCTGATCTCCAATCATGTAAAGTGATCTTCACCAATGGATGCCAGAGAAGGAGTAACTTTTTTATTTAATCCAACAGTTGACTGAGAAGATTTCGGGAGGATCCAAGGGTATAAGAAGCGGAGCATCCATTTTTGTGGATGAGCACATGGCGGTTTGGTTCCATGGTCCCAGAGCTGTAATTTTTCCTTATTCAGTCCTTTGCTGTATATTTTAAGGTTTAATAAACCTTTGCAATTTTAAAAAGTGAGCAAGGTTTCTCACACCTGCTGCCACTACCCATGTCGGCTGGTTTTTGCCACCGAGTCAGTATTTGTTACATTATAGCTCTGCACTCTCCGTCTGGTCAGGCACCCTGCAGTTCCAGCTACAGCTGAGGAGTTTCTGATACATCTCATCTACCACTCCTGGATTCTGCTCCTCCCTGCCTTCCCAGCTTGCCGCTCCAAGATCCCAGCTGCACCCCAGTGCTGTGCAGAGGAGCGCTGGGACCAGCCGTCCCTGAGCTCTCCAAAGGATGAGGAGCGCTGGGACCAGCCGTCCCTGAGCTCTCCAAAGGATGAGGAGCGCTGGGACCAGCCGTCCCTGAGCTCTCCAAAGGATGAGGAGCACTGGGACCAGCCGTCCCTGAGGCTGGAGTTTTCTGCTCCTGCTCGGCGGCGCTGCCATTGCTGTTGTTTGTTTGCCTTGCTGTAATACACGTACTAGTCAAGAACTGTTATTCCTTTTCCCATATCTTTGCCTGAAAGCCCCTTAAGTTCAAAATTATAACATTTCAGAGGGATGGGGTTATATTTTCTATTCCAAGGGAGGCTCCTGCCTTCCTCAGCAGACACCTGTCTTTCAAGCCAAGACAGGAGGACAGTTCTAAAATAATTGTTTACTTAGATTTTCAAGCTCATGGTCATGTTGTTGTTTTGGGAATTATGTATATTCCAACAATTAGATGGGTTTTTTCTCCCTCTCCTTTATTTCTAGTCACTGAGTCATAGCAGCTCCACATCTTCCTGTTTACCAGCTTTGAATTGCAGATCCTTGGGAGAAGGATTAGTTAGAGGTTAGTTCATAACTTCCTGCAGACAAATTCTAACACACATAGTACACAATTCAATTTCACAACATAAAATAATTCCTTTTTCTATTTAATCCAACAGCTAATACTTCTGCAAGAAAGGAGAATCAGGGAGTAAGCTCAAAGATTTTACCCAAAATACCAGCTAGATCCCATCTACTGCGTGATAGATACGTTTACAGCCAGTTTTGTGCAGAAAGAAAGGTTTGAGGCACTTCTAAGCTATTGTATTCTTGAATCGTGTGAGAATATTTTATATGGAGCAATATTTGCATGCACTTGTTTCACTTCAAGGGTTATTTCTTCACTAACAGTTT